TCCCACGTTACCCGGTACCTTCTTTTTACCCTCTATGTATTTAAAAAAAGATTTCTTGTTATCCTTGATCCAGATTGCTAGTCCCAGTTCTGTCTCCGCCTTGGCCTTCCCAACAGCCCCCCTACAATCCGGAGCAACAGAGGTATAACCCTCCCTGGTGATGGCTCCTCCCTTCCATTGGGTGTACGCCTCCCTCTTAGCTTTAAGACATTCCTGGATGCTTTTGGTGAGCCATGGGGGATTTTGAGCACTCTTACCCCCTTTGATCCACGTTGGGATTGCCACCCTTTGGGCTTGGAGGATCGTCTCCTTCAGGAACGACCACTCTTCTTGGACTCCCAACTCCCCTCCCCTCTGGGACCTCAGTGCCTCGCCAACTAGTCTCCTTAGCTCAATGAAATCCACCCTCCTGAAGTCCAGGGCTGCTGCCTTGCTGCAGGCCTTTGCCACCCTGTGCTTATGCATGTACAAAAATCATGAAATCGCTGTATCCACGTTACCTCTTGCAGACTCTCTTAATCCCTTGTGCAATCATCTGTTGTCCTGAAGCAAAGGACAAATTACTGTAATAGCAATTTAAGCATGTGGAGTGAAGTCATTTTAAAAGAATGGGGTCAGAGGCGGGGAGGAAAGAACATGGAAAGATATGAATTGTTATTGTAAAAGTGACCACATCCTAGTAGTAGCAGGAAATCATAGAATCATAGGAAAATTGGGATGTCAAGGAGTTCATCTAGTCCAACCCCCTGCTCAAGGCAGGATCGTCCTTGTCTAAACTTTCCCGTTAAAGTGTTTGCCTAACCTGCTCTTAAAACTGTCCAGTGATGATGGATTTCCCACAACCATTCTAGCTGTTCCAGTGCTTAACCGTCTTCATAGTGAGCATGTGCTTTCTAATACCCAGCCTTAATTTCCCGTGTTGTAACTTCAGACCATTACCTCTTATGCCATCCCCTGTGAACCAGAGTCTATTGCTGTCCTCTTTATAAGAACCCTTAACACAGTTGAAAACTGACAAAATACAAGTTTTTCCAACCTTTCTTCATATGGTGTGTTTTTGGAACTCCAGACATCAGACTCACCAACAGGAGATTTGGCTCATCCCCCAACATTATGAAGTTTGCAGGGAGGAAATTAAATTTTCACTAAAAAAATGTTTTACTAATGTTGATTCTGCCAGGTGCTTTTAACCCCCATCTCTCTGAACAGCAATGGCAATAAAACCCATTCCTCTATGAGGCATTTCATTAAAAGTTTTCAAAGAACTTACACAAAAGAGTCAAATATTAGGACTATTCTACGGGGTTGCAGGCAAGTGAAGAGATTTGAACAATGTCACCAAGCAGGCAAGTGGCAAAGCTCAGAACGAAGAACCTGCCCTTCCTGGCTCCAGTAAAATGATCCCCCTATTTTGCTTATGAGAGTAGGCAAAAAGGCCCATTGCACTCAATGGGAAGTCTACTGTTGACCCCTATGGACTTGGATCAGGCTCCAAACCCTAATCTTGTGTGTGTGAAGACATTGCTATACCAACACATCCAGTGCCAGCAGTCCGTTTATGTACTACCAATGACAGGCCAGGGACTTGTCAGACCACTCCTAGACCTATTCAGATTTTTTTTCTTTCCTGACCTCTCCGCCACACTCTACATCCTGGGGGAAAGTGAGGCACAAGAACAAAAAGCCACTGTCATAGTGATCAAGATCATCCTGAGAAAAAATACGAAGTTTTAAATATTGTTATTAGTTTAAAAACCCTTCTTCCAAAAAAGTAGCTAGGTTTAAACCAGACTCTTGGTATATAGGCAATAAAATAAGTATTAGAAACAAACTTTTTAAACATATTGAAATAATTGGAACTGAATTAGGACTCTTTTCCGCATGAAAACAAAACAGAGGAAAAAGAGAAATACAGCCAAGAGGTAAAATGTCTTATCTTTGAGGACGACAAGGTTCCTTGGGTGAACTTGATATCTTCTATTAGACCAACCCAAATAGTTGGAGAATAGTTATTAAGCAAGCTTTCGGGTTCAAAAACCCTTCGTCAGACTAAGGAAGTTTCAGCAGTTGGTGTGTGCTCTTCCTGGATGGAATGAAAAGTAAAGAAGCCTATCTTTGAGGACACATTCAGATTATGGAGAGGACATGACCACATTGGAAGAGGGAAATGTACTTGAATAGCAGCAGTGGGCAACTGTATTATTACCTGTTGTACACCCAAAACTAGAGTAGGAGGCAGTAAGGAAGTAGAAGGACGGGTGATGAAACAGAGGACAGAGGTACTGAACCATGGAGATGCCCTAAAATGCAAAGGGAAAATTCAAAACTAAAATTAAAACAAAAATGCCCATTCTGTCCTTCTCTTGCCTGTATGGGCACATCTACACATGCACTTTAATGCGTAGTAGCCTTTTCTACTGCACATTAAAGCAGTGTCAAAAACCGTGCCAATATGGTAATGCACAGAATAGACAACTGTGCATTAAGCATCACCTAAAAAGCGTGTGCTTGCTCTACCAAGTATTAGCGCAGCCTAATGCACATTTTAGTACCTCGTATTGGAGGTACTAAATATAATATGCATTAGGAAAAGTGCATTAATGCATGTGTAGACATGCCCTGTATGTCCCAATATGAACTAACATAATTAAATTTCTGATTACCGGTCCAGGTGAAGCACGTAAGGAAAAAAAATCACTGGTCTTGCAAATAATTGCACTGGAGTGTTTCTAGCCCTAGCACATCAAGCCAGCAAGCAACAAATTCACCATCTTGAATTTCCCCCCCACATCCCTCAATAACAGCATAGTTTCAGCAGCTAACCTCATAAACTCTATTTGTGAGACACAATTTGGGTGTATTCTAATCTCTCAAATATGAAGCGTTTGGGTTCCTGTGTACAGCATCCAGTAGTTCTACATATAGCACCAAAATCCATACTAGAATGGAAGTGAGGGAAACACAGTGTGTTAATCAGAAGAATGTAATTGTTGAGGCCTAATGCCTTGAAGGTTTTATGTTTCATGACCCACTGTTCTATGGACAAGCAGGATACCTGAGTTATATACTTGACAGGCAGATCCCCAAGTGGCAGGGCTGAGCAGCAGGGCTAGCACAGGCATGGGTGAACCAGGAGGCCCCAAAAATGGTAATTTTTTTTGTTGTTGTCTGATTATTATCCTAATCTCTGGCGAAGTGGGTGCTGATACTAAAAGTTTGCCCAGGGACACCAGGAGTCTAGGTACAGTGCTGCTGAGCAGAGAGATTCATAGATTGTAAGGCCGGAAGGAACTTCAGAAGATCATCGGGTCCAGCCCCCTGCACCAAGCAGGAAAGATAACTGTGGGTCCGGTGACCCCAGCGAGGTGACTGTCCAGTCTCCTCTTAAAGATTTCCAGGGTAGGTGATAGCACCTCCTCTGGAGGGAGCTTATTCCAGTCTGAACACCCTGACTGTGAAGAAGTTTTTCCTAACGTTGAGCCTGAATTTATCTTCCAGGAGTTTGTGGCCATTACTCCTCGTTTTCCACTCGGGTGCCCTGGTGAACAGTTGCTCACCGAGCCCTTGATGTACTTCCCTAGTGTATCAGTAAGCTGCTACCAAGTCCCCTCTCAGCCTTCTTTTCCTCAGGCTGAAGAGTCCCAGATCCCTCACACTTTCCTCGTATGGCTTGCCATGTAAGACTCTGATCATATGGGTGGCATTTCTTTGGACTCTCTCAAGGTTGTCCATGTCCTTGTTAAAGTGCGGTGCCCAGAACTGGACGCAGTACCCCAGCTGTGGTCTCACCTGCGCTGAGTACAGTGGCAGAATCACCTCCTTGGCTTTGCTGGAGATGCACCAATTGATGCATGCCAGAGTATTATTTGCCCTACTAGCTACAGCATCGCGCTGCTGGCTCATATTCATACTGTGGTCTATTATTACTCCCAGGTCCCTTTCATTCGTGGTGCTGGTCAGTTTAGTGCCACCAAGCCTGTAGGTGTGTTGGGGGTTGCTCATCCTGAAGCGCAGCACTTTACATTTCTCGTCAAGAAGCGGGAATGCGGATGGGTTTCTTCTGGGTTTTGTAGTAACAAGGCAATTGACAGCTGCAATCAACACAGCAGAGCTTACACTGCTGATGAGCTGCTGAAAGAGAGGGGAAAAATATCAGATTTCTTTTACAAATCCTGCATGCAGCTTAATAAAATGATATAGTGTCCCAGCTTCGGAGCCAAAGCTTTGGAGATCCCAATTTTGGAGTAAAAAAGTTGGACCCTAGAAGTATTGGACAGCGGCGAGCCCCGACCAGCGGTCAGTGACCACCCACGGATGCCGCAATTGCAGACCGCCTGCAGACACCACCGGCAGTGTCGGTGCGCAGGGCCTTTTTGCAGGGGGTGCACCGCCACGCTCAGGGGGCGCACGTGCGCCCGCGTGCACCCCCAACACGTCACCAATGACTCAGAGGCTGTGCAAGCCCGCCTCTACTGCACGGGCTGGCTCGGACCGTGGCGCAAACATCTCTGAGATAGCAGGTCGGGCAGACAGGTGCTGCAGTAAGGGGGTCAGGCTGGCTGGATCCCCGGGGCAGAGATAGATGGGTGCAGCCAAGGACTTAGGCCTAGGGTTGCCAACTCTGTCTGAACTGAGGTTTCATGCCATGATGTAATGCCTTTCCATCAGGACGGCAAATGCACGTGACCTATTCCCTTAAAATAAACAAAACCCCACTGGACAACTGTATAAATCAGCTTCAACATGTCACGTTCATTTCAACGCATCATTTATCCTAGGATGAATGATCCACCCCTATCATCAAGCGGGGCGGGGCGGCCACGTGG